AAAAAAAAAAAAAAAAAAGAATTTATTTTTCACAGTTTGAGAGTCTAGAAAGTACAAGATCAAGATGCTGTCAGATTTGTGTCTGGTTAGTGCTCACTTTCTGGCTCACAAGGTACTTTACAGCTATGTCCTGTGGTGGACACAGGAGGCAGTGCTCTGGGGCCTCTTTTATAAGGATGCTAATCATATTCATAAGGTTTCTGTCCTATGATCTGATCACTTTCCAAAGTCCCTAACACTTAATAACATCATCATGGAAGTTAGGTTTCAACCTATGAACTTTGGAGGGACACAAACATTCCCAATACAGCATCACCTCAATGAATGCTCATTCTTTCACATGGAAGGTAGGTGAATGAAAGAAAATGAGGCATCTGTTTTATATTTCTAAAATTGCTCTTCAAAAAGATAGTTCCATGCAGATTTGCCACTATATCATCAGTCTTACGATAACTTATTTCTAAAGACTGTCACCTCACGAGCTTCACAAATGATGTCAACACTTTTTCTTCAAGGCCCTAGAATCCTGATATAAATTTATAGGATAAAACACTGAAGCAAACATAAAAACTTCACTGCAAGAAAACCAGGAAAAAAAAAAACCAAATAACTCATTTACCTAATAACTTTAGCAAGGTTGAGAGATATATAAACAAACAAGGTCAAAACATAAAATTATTAATGAAAAAAACAGAAAACAAAGATACTTTTTATAAGAGCATCAAACCACATCCACATTCAGAAATAAATAAATCTAAACAAGAGGAAAGACCTCTGCATTGAAAATGACAAAAAATTATTAGAAGAAATTAAAGACTTAAGTCAATGAATTACATTTATAAATCTAAAGAGTCAGTATAGAAAAGATGTCAGTTCTTCCCAGAATAATTTATATATTTAACAAAATCCAGAGGGCCAAGAACAGCCACTGCAATTCAGAAGAACAGCAAAGCTGGAGTTCTTAAACTATTGGGTGTCAAGTCCTCTTGCAAAGGTTTTAGTAATTTAAGACTTTGGAGTTAGCAATGGATAGAAAAATGAAACAAAATAGAACCACATATTTACAGTCACATAATTATGACAGAAATAATACTGCAAATGAAGAGTAAGGCTGCTTTTTTAACAAAAACTTGACTAATTGATCTCACACAGAAAAAAAAAAAAATGCTTTGACTTTAATGCCACAGAAAAAAATCAGTTCCAGACAGCTGGCAGATCTAAATTTGAAGGCCAAAAGGAACACTATCAGCAATAAAAATGAGCTACCTACAATTCATGGAAGATCAAGTGGACTCCTATAATGCTGAAGAAATGAGATCAAACCCAAAAGCGAACATACTCCAAACTTTCATTTATATATAGTACAAAAATAGTACAAAATAATCTAGCTACTAGAAGTGTTGGATGAGAATGGGTACTGACTGGCTTTTAAAATGCTAGTAATGTCATTCCTTTATTTATGCACTAGGTGCACAGCTGTGCCTCTGTGAAAATCCACTAAGGTAAAACAAAAGTTTACTACAGAATGAGAGAATTTAGTGGTATAAAATCACAGAATTTTATATTAAGAAATTTTAAATACAAGTGTGCATTAATTAACACTAGTTGAAATACAGAGGGTAGCCAATCTTTCACTTTCTACTGCTTTACAGCAGAAGTTAACACTTACAGTAAATTTTGCTCTTTCTTCCATCACCTCATAACCCAGGATAGTAGGTGTAGATGGTCTATCTTCCCAATTCACTGTTTCAGGATTTTGTTCTTCAGTTTCTCTTGGTCTAGTAGAATATTCAATGGATGAATCTGTACCTGTAAACTTAGTCCTAATGAGAGGACTGCTACAGACAGATGAAGTTCTATCCAGTTGATCAGGAACACTTGTCTGTTTACAATTACCCATATTTGAATCTTCTAACTGGCCTTTGGAGGAGTTTGAGGTTGTTGAAATGCTGCCAAAAGAAGAACTTCTTTGATTTCTGTTGGCTGTAAAACTAGAAACAGAGTTTCCTATGGGCATAGGAACTGGGACATAAGGAGTTGCCATTTTCTGCCTCTGCAACAAATCTGTACACTGCTGAGTCCAAACGTTTAGCAAACAACTACTAGGCGATCCATTTTCTTAGGAATTCACTATCTAAAAATAAGAAGGACATATTGAAAGATTAGTCTTTAATCTGAAGCACAATTCAAAAGAAAACAAAATGTTCTTTTAAATTTTATGACTATTGTTTTATATGGAAAACACACTTCAAACCCCTTTTTAAAAATTTTTAGTTTCTAAGGACTCTTGTTCACAAGGTAAAACGATCAAAACTACTTCATATCCCTTTTCTTGACCCTTGTGTCATGCTGACCTTTTTAATACACTTTTTTCTTTGCGAAGGATTTTTATGACATTCATTTTTCACCTGAGTTGATATCCAGCACTGCCAAAAAAGAAGAGTGGGAAAGACTCTCCTGAAGCTTTCTTCTAGAATTTCCTGATAGTATTATATACAATAGAAAAGAGAAAAGAAAAAGGAGGAAATGCAGAATCAAATATAGTTGACAAACTTGATCAAATTAACTGATCAAACTGATCAACTTGATTAAATTAACTGAGAGGATTTAACAAATCTTTCTAACTCATACTTATCAGAAGAACCATGCTAGCTTGTATCAGAATAAGTTTATAATAACAAATAATGGTTTATCATTAAATTGTTAAATAATAACTTATAAAAAATTTTAACACCCAGACCAACAAAATGACATGACTGCACATAGCAACCAAGGATCTGCCAGCCCAACTTCACCTATGTATTTCTATTGGTGAAAAGGGTTGGAAAGGAGTCTCAGGGGCTTGCAAACAATACTTTAAAGTCAGCACGTGGCTCTCGGCAAGCTCCCTCATTATCCAAGATTCAAGAAACTCGAGCTGCTGATTCATTGCTTTTCCGTCCCGTCTGATGGCCTCCCCCAAAAGAAGTAAATAAAAGTGAAGCTGAAAGCTTCTCAAGGCCTAGGGGACGGCCCTACTCTTTATCATCCCACTACCTGAGGTCACAGGTGGAGAAAAGGTTGCTTGTGAACACAGCCACTGATATCCAAAGCAGTGAGAGCTACCCAGGCGTTAGGAAAACACTGTGCTCCTTAGGAGAGTGCACTTTTCTCTTTGCATGGAGATGCGCCAGGAAAGATCCTCAGTCTCACCTCAGTCAGGTGACACGGTCAGATTCAGAACAACCAGGTGGGCGAGACTGGGTGGAAAGAAACCCTAGGAGGGTGCCGTCGGGGTCTGCGCGGGTGGGGGTGGTCTTCAGCTCTGGGGGGGAGCAGGACTTGCAGCTCCCGGGGATTCTGGATGTCGCAGACCCTCCAGCCTCGGTCGCCCCGCGCGGGGCCACAGCCTCCCAGACGCACGGCGGAGTGTGGTGGCCGGACTGTGGTAGAGGTCGGGGTCCCGGGCCTGTGGCGTCTCTCCACCCTCTCGCGCCTGCCGTCAGGCAGCCAGAGTGCAGCTGTCACCCGCACGGAAGCCCAGCACAACCTCCCCACCCGGTCCTTACCTTAGCGCACTCCACGATCCAGCTGCAGAGCGCTTCCCGGGGATTGTAAAACCCGATTCTTCTATCTGCAGCTTTTCGCCTTTCCCTACACAATCTAATACTTCACATGACCTTCCGCTCGGAAAGCAGCCGCTCAGCACGTTTCCCACACTCAGCCGGGCCAACCGGCAGGGATCCCAGCGCAGAGGAGGTGGGGACTGGCCTGGGACCCCTCTCCCGGAAGTGACGTTCAACGCACCCGCCTCCCGGAAGTGCCCTCTAGAGCGTCTGCCTTTGGCTTTCTGGTAGCTAAATCAAATCTAATGCTGTGACAAGTAGTTGGTATTCTCTGTACTGGTTTTATTTTTCGAAGTGAACTTCTGAGAAAATGGGCTAATTTTCCTAGCAGGTGATTAGAAGTCTTCGGTTTCCAGGAGGAACCATGGCCAGCGTTTGTCTGGGCTCCTGCTATTGGAGTCCATTACAAACAGCCTGATCTGGTTCTTTTAGGTTATAGATTGCTTTCCAGAATTAGCAGTGCTTTAGGGGATGACAAATGATCTGAAGTGTAGGAAGATAGAACATTACATCATTATCTATCCATTCCATGTAATTCAGCAATCCTCATTGGCAGAGACCCCTGAAATTCTTTAGTATGTATTCATTTTCTATCCGGGAAGTAATGTATCCCAAATGACACACCATTAGGTTTGTTATACTTGGTCATACAAAAAATTATGTCCAGAAAGCATTCTTTGATAGTCAAATACCAAGATTTAGACCAGTATATAGGACCCTTCATCATTAGAATGGTGCAGTTTGATTTAAAGATTAATGATTTCTAGAGCTTTGGAGTATTACCAATGATGGGAAAATTGACAGTGGTAATTTCAAAATGAATATAGGAAGTTAATCTGATTTGTGACATACTGATGGTTTTTGTTTGAGAAATACTGACCTTTAAGAGCGAAAGATGAAAATAGAGGAGTTCTGTATTAACAAGAAAATAAAACATCTTTCAGTATGGACTTGGCACTTTTCATCTTGAAGTGGTGATTATATACTTTAGTTATGTGAATAAGGGAAAAGTACTGCAAAGAAAAAGGGGCCTTGGAAAATTTCTCTTGATTATAGATAGGGATGATAGTGGTATCAAAAGAGATACATGATAAGTAAAACATGTTAGTTCAAAATTTAGAAAGTCAAAGAAAGTTAGACTTTCAAGAAGTAAGAGTACAGATACCACAACTAGGAGGATGAAGAAAAGATTATTGAAACTGCTCAGGAGGAACTTTCACAGACTAGATGGAGCATAACAGTGTACATATCATTGTACATGTTTTATTTATTTTCAAGAATATTGGTGATGGAGCCAGAGATTTAGCTCAGTGGTTCCACCGCCTGCTTCATAAGCACAAGAATCTGAGTTTGATCCCTGGTACCAAAAAAAAAAAAAAAATCTGGTGTTGATAAATGTCTAGATTTTACTTTTAAGAAATAACTAAACTGCTTTAAGAATCAAGAAAGACTGTCCTGTGGTAAAGAGTGTCCTGTGGTTAGTCAAAGTTAAAATATTATCATAGGTCATTTTTGATATCTAGTCTCTATTATTTTAGTTCAGCTCCTGAATGCCTCTATACTGTGCCCACAATCCAAATGAATCATTTACATTTCATTTTGTAGAATAGTAAGAAGAGGTAAACACAACAGAAAAAAGCATATGAAGTGAGTAGGCATCTTTTGAGGCATCTATCTGGATCCTAACATTTCCTCTTTCACTGAAATTGGTCTCTCTTCTGTAAGACACTTCTGGGTCTCTGGTGCCTATTCATAATATATCATTCTTGAATCATGTTTTTCATCATAGTCAATTGTGCACAAGTAGACATTTGATACAAATTGTATCCAATAGGTGATCTTTCCTAGGAATTAAAACTTGGGTATTTGAGGAAAGATTCTGGTTAGAAGTTATTGGAGCTAAAGTTAGAGAGGTCCCATAAAATTCCATTTCTAAGTTTCCTGGAAGTGATCTGATCCCTCTTACTTGATTTTTCCTTGGATTCCAGGACATAAACTAGTGTACTTTCATTATATTAACTTTTTTGCTTAAATCCAGCCAGAGATGGTTGTTTTGCTTAAAACCAAAGTACAACTAATATAACAATTTGAGCATTTTTTTGGGGGGGTGCTGGGGGTCAAACTCTGGTCCTTGTGCTTGCAAGACAGGTGGTGGAACCACTCAGCTACATCCCTGGTCCCTAATATAGCAATTTGGAATGAGGTAAACTGAAAATGTTAGATGATGAGATGGTGATAAAATGCTTTCCTGTTTTTTATTTTGCAAATAGCAGTTAATAATTCATAACCTATTATTTTAAAATATAGTATTTCACAACCTGTTTATAACAAATAATACCTCAAAAATTTATAAGCAAAACAATATAAAATAACTCCATTATTTTTGTTTAATTTCATAGATTCTTTAATTTGTGTATGTTGTTTCCATGGACAGTTTTTCTTTAATTTTACTATTTAGCATCCATACTCTTCTTGCCCTCTACTTTCTCACTGCCATGAAGTTCTGAGACCAGAGAAAGAACCACAGATGTTTCGGTCTCTTGTTGGATCAGCTGGGTAATAGGAGATGACCAAAGCAGTAACATAGTGACATGACAGCTGAATTTATCTCAATGAACCCGTGACCTATACAGTGTACGAAAACGGGGTAGGAATTATATGATATTTGTCATGGCACAGGGGTGACACCCTTGAATATTGCTACTATTGTTAATTTTTCATCCATCATGTTACATAAGGAAGCTTTTGATAACATTGTGCAAATCCTATTGTGAGCATAAGAAAGTGATAAAATTCTTCCTCAAAACCACAGACTCATGATCTTAGAATGGAAAGGAAGTATAATGATCGTAAGAATACTGCTTCATTTTATAGCTAAGGATATTGATAAAAACAGAAGCTAACTCTTCTGTGTGAGTTACAGATTTCTTGCTCCCAAAGTAGTGACTTTCTTACCTCACTTAATAACAAATTTTTGAGCACAGCATATTGTTTCATATCTTAATGTGTTTCAGCTTTCTTATATAACTAGTCACTGTTATATTCTTGATTATTGTCTGATCCCAGGTAGTCTCATGGGTTTTATGCCTGATAAAAGTCTGTCTGAACTGGGCCTTTCGGGGTCAGTAGAAATTGGGTAAGTAAAGTAGGAAGGCTAGACACACCAGGCAAAGTGAAGATTTGAGAGAGGTCATGCACAGTGTGTGATGCTGATGAAATAACTTGATTGTACTGAAAGGAGCATGTTTGATGTAGCTGGAAATAGAAAGGTGAGCCTCTGCTTATCTCTTGAATCTACCTTGAATATAATCTTGTAAGTAATACCTTCCTGCTCGCCTATGTGGAATTAAATAAGCTCATCTTGTATAATTACATTGTATTTGCTTTATAAATGGAAACATTCATCATTTATATCATGAATACTTGTTTATTTGTGCAACCTAATAGCCAGGATTATGTATTAGATATGTATGTGCTGATAGTGCCTTGTTTGATACCGGAGTAACATACAACCACAATTACTGTTGATTTACATTTGGCCCCCTTATATTTTCTACCAAGATTCCAATAGACATTTTCAGCTTCTACTTTAGATAATAAAGTCCTCATTCTTCGAATAGACCTATAGTCTCCTGCATGAACTGATTTCTTACAGAATAATTGTTTAGTTAATCATTTGGCCATTAACTCCTGGTATATGGATGATGAATGAAATCTGTTCTCTGAGTTCTCAGTGCCAGGGTTTTCAACACCTCAGTTTGTAAGGGATCCTGGCAAATAGAAAAAAATGTTTCTAGGTAAAAAGCAGAGACTTGAAAGGGCAATAATCTTCATTCTGCCAACACCACAATTCCTTTTTATCTTCTAGGAGAGATTAATACCTTCTCAGACAGGAATCATACAGCTGTGTTATACCTGAGTATTTTATTTGGGTTACTTCTGACTTTTTTCAACTGTAATATGGACAATAATTGTCCTTCCTATAAGGCTATTGTAAAAAATACAAATGACCACCATGTTTATTGTTATGACTTGTGTCTAGATGTCCCCTCAAAGTCTCATGCTCTCATAGGTGGGGCATTTTCATAGATGGCTGGGTCCATAGGGTGTGATGCTGGAATTAAGGGTGTGTGATTACTAAAGTAGTCCACTGATTAGTTCCGCATAGTTCTGAATGTGGATAATGGGAAAGCCCACTCTGGGTGTGAGTGCTAGCCACCCTAAGGGCATGTAGCCTGGATATAATATAAGGGACAGAAAGAGGGCTGCTGTTGTAGCTTGCTGCTTGTTTCCTTGATATTTCACTGCTTTGCTGCCTTTCTGCCTTCTGCCCATCATGAACTGTATGTCTGATATGATGCCCCTCTGCCAGGCCACCCTGCTTTGGAGCCAGCCAACTATGAACTGAAGCCTCTAAAAATGTTAGCTAAAGAAACCTTTCCTCTTTTTACTTTGGGTGTTATATATTTGTCTCAGCAATGAGAAAAGTAAGATACTTGTTAAGTGCTTAGTACAGTGACTGGTGAAAGAAATGATCACTATTGTCTATTGAATTAATTAGGCATCTTAGCTACTTTGAAAAGATGTGAACAATTTTAATAATAATGAATTTAGATATATGTTGAATGAATGATTAATGATTAGCTATATGGAGAACTGCTGTAATGACTTTCTAGACATCAATTAGTCAATATTTTGACCCATATTTATCTGCATTTCCCTACTCACTTTGTTTTCCTGCTTTGTTGAGATACAATTCACAAATAAAATTATATAAACTTAAAGTGTACAATGGGATTTTATATTTGTATATATTTGAAATGATTAACCACAAAGTTAAGAGATTACATTAGTTTACTTAATCCTCACAGTAATCCTAGGAGACAGCATTGATTATAATTGATGTTTTACTGATTTTTTAACATGGAAAAGTTATTCTGAAATGTTATCTTGTTTGGCATGGTTAGAATTCACACTCAGTTCTATCACCAAAACCAGCCCTCATATTCCCACTCTACTGTCTAATTTTTGCCACCGTGGAGGGTGGAGAGAGGCTGGACCTTCAAAGAGCCACACTGATGAGACATTGGTGGAAAACTAACTCTCCAGACAGTGCCAGGAATTCCTGGCTTCTTCACATCATTCAATACTC